GCCCAGTTTACCTTAGTTTTGGTAATGAGAGCGTTGATGATGAAGGCTCTCTCCTGGGTGATGTCATCGGCATGACCTCCACTCCCACATTCGAGGCAGGCGATGACCAGTTCCAAAATCAACTTGTAATCGTTGTTCAGATCTGCTTTCTTTGCTGGGCCAGAAGGAGTTCGCCCAGAAATTCCAATGATGTTCCAGTTCAGATTTTTGACTAGAAATTTCCCAACTTCAACTCCAGAATTGGGAAGGCGAAGCTTTCTTCCCAATTTCTTCTGCGAAAGCTTCACCTTTGAGCCTCCAACAGTGGACTTGATGACTGGAAATGTGCTCTGTGGATTTTTCTTTGACTGAGCAGATTTGATTTCTCCATTTCTGTAGAATTCAAGAACATCTTCCTCGAATTTGAGGCGAATCTCCATTTGAAGAAATTCGGAGAGTTCTTGAGCAGCTATCATCTGCAGATAGTTTTGGAAGAATGTTGGAGATGAGCACTTGGCTTCTAACTTCTGAAAGTGGACATTTGCACCGACAACCTTCATTTTCTCAGAAATTTGGGTGAAGATTTGAGAAATAAAGGCTTAGGGTTCTTGCAGATTTTTGAGAATTTTTCGCGAAGAAGATGACGAAGAATTTTTGAGTGGGCGGTTGAGATCTGAATAGTGGCGATTGGGATTTTATGTGGGCGATTTATGCGGCTAGTGGCGATACTGTTCCCAAGGCCACGTTCCCACCCATCATTTTGACAGACGTGGAAAGTGAACTGCCACGTGCACTACATTCAGTCTAATTGAATTAGACCAATTTTGTGAAGCAAATCGGAAAACTTGGCTTCACTTAGTGGTTTGGTGAAGATATCCGCCAATTGTTCTTCAGTTGAGATATACTCAATTTTGATATCTTTCTTTTCCACATGATCTCTGATGAAGTGATGCTTGACATCAATGTGCTTAGTGCGAGAATGATGCACTGGGTTTTGAGAGATGGCTATGACACTTTGATTGTCACAAAAGATTGTCACTTCCTTTGTTTTGACTCCATAGTCCAGTAGTTGTTGCTTTAGCCACAAAACTTGAGCACAACAACTGCCAGCTGCAATGTACTCTGCTTCTGCTGTAGATGTAGAAATGGAGTTTTGTTTCTTACTGAACCAAGAAACAAGATTTCCACCAATGAATTGACAAGTACCAGA